CTGATCAAGTAGATTTCAAAATGAAGACCATAACTACAGACAAAGAAGGCCACTACATAATATTGAAAGGATCTATTTAACAGGAAGTTATAATCTTGATAAACATATATGCACCAAATATAGAAGCAACAAAATATATTTAAAATCTTCTGAAGGACTTCAAAGAAGAAATCAATAGCAATACAATCATAGCAGGGAACTTAAACACCCCGTTGACATCACTGGATAGATCCTCTAGACAAAAAATTAGCAAGAGAACAGAGACTCTAAATGAAGCACTAGACCAAATGGATTTAATAGATATCTACAGAGAATTACACCCTAAATCTATAGAATTCACATTTTTCTAAAGTGCACATGGGACATTCTCAAAGATAGACCACATGTTAGGACACAAACTAAGTCTCTACAAGTTCAAGAAGATTGAAATCATATCAAGCATCTTCTCAGATCACAATGGCATGAAACTAGAAATCAATTGCAACAAGAACATGCAAAGACATTTGAAAAGATGGAAGGTAAATACCATGTTATTAAAAAATGAATGTGTCAATGAGGAGATCAAGGAAGAAATTAAAAACTTCCTGAAATCCAATGAAAATGAACACACAACAACACAAAACCTATGGGATACAGTGAAAGCAGTTCCAAGAGGGAAGTTCATAGCACTACAGGTCTACCTCAAGAAGCAAGAAAAATCTCTAATAGACTATGTAACCTCACAACTTAAAGAACTAGAAAGAAAACAAAAAGAAAACATCAGAGTGAGTAGAAGGAAGGAAATGGTAAAGATCAGAGCAGAAATAAATGACATAGAGACCAAAAACAAAAACAAAATAAACACAATTCAAAGAATCAATAAAACAAAGAGCTGGTTTTTTGACAAGATAAACAAGATTGATGGACCCTTAGCTAGATTCACCAAAAAACAAAGAGAGAGAACCCAAATACACAAAATCAGAAATGAAAGAAGAGAAGTAACAACTGATACCGCAGAAATACAGAAAATTGTTAACAACTACTATGAACAATTATATGGCAACAAATTCGACAATCTAACCAAAACGGATCAATTTCTTGAAATACATAGTCTCCCAAAATTGAACCAGGAAGAGATAGAAAACTTGAACATACCAATAACAACAAAAGAAATTGAAGATGTGATCAAGACTCTCCCAGCAAACAAAAGCCCAGGCCTGGATGAATCCTCGGGGGAGTTTTACCGAACATTCAAAAAAGAATTAACACCATTTCTCCTCAAACTATTTCAAAAAATTCAAGAAGATGGAAGACTTCCAAACTTGTTTTATGAGGCCTGCATAATTCTATTTCAAAACTAGAAAAAGCATTACAAAGAAAGAAAACTACAGGCCAGTATCTCTGATGAACATAGTTGCCAAAATTCTGAACAAAATACTAGCAAATCGGATCCAGCAACACATCAAAAATTATTCACCATAACCAAGTGGGTTTCATCCCAGGGATGCAAGGCTGGTACAATATTCGCAAATCAATAAATGTGATACACCACTTAAACAAAATGAAAGATAAAAATTATATGATCATATCAATAGATGCCGAAAAAGCCTTTGACAAAATCCAGCATCCATTTCTGATAAAAACGCTTAGCAGTGTGGGAATAGAGAAATCATATCTCGACATATTTAAGACCATATATGAAAGACCTACAGCCAACATCATACACAATGGGCAAAAACTAAAAGCATTTCCCTTAAGAACAGGAACAAAACAGGGATGCCCATTTTCGCCACTCTTATTTAACATAGTACTGGAAGTCTTAGCCACAGGAATCAGACATGAAGAAAAAAGATAAAGGGATCCAAATTGGAAAGGAGGAAGTGGAACTCTCATTATTTGCAGATGACATGATACTATATGTAGAAAACCCTAAAGACTCCATCAAAAATTTACTAGTCTTAATAAATGAATTTGGCAAAGTAGCAGGATACAAAATTAACGTCAAGAAATTGATGGCATTTTTATACACCAATGATGAAGTCTCAGATAGAGAAACTAAAATACAATCCCATTTACCATTGCTGCAAAAAAAATTAAGATACCTAGGAATAAACTTAACCAAAGAAATAAAGGACCTATTCACAGAAAACTACAGGTCATTGAAAAAAGAAATAGAAGAAGATATAAAAAAAGTGGAAGCACATACTTTGTTCATGGATTGGAAAAATTAACATCATTAAAATGTCCATACCACCGAAAGCAATCTGTAGTTCAATGCAATCCCCATCAAAATACCAATGACATATTTCACAGAACTAGAACCAATACTTCAAAAGTTCATATGGAACCAAAAAAGACCTCAAATATTCACACCGATCTTGAAAAAGAAGAACAAAGTAGGAGGGATTACAGTACCAGATTTCAGGTTATACTCTAAAGCAACTGTAATTAAAACAGCCTAGTACTGGCACAAGAACAGGCATATAGACCAGTGGAACAGGACAGAGAACCCAGAAATGGACTCAAGGCAATATGCTCAATTAATATTTGACAAAGATGGCAAGAGCACACAGTGGAGTAAGGACAGCTTCTTTAATAAGTGGTGTTGGGAAAATTGTACAGCTACTTGCAGAAAAATGAAACTAGACCATCAACTTAACCCTTACACAAGAATAAACTCAAAATGGATAAAAGACTTAAATGTGACTCATGAATCCATAAAAATCCTAGAAGAAACTGTAGGCAACAAAATTTCAGACCTCATACACAGCAGAATTTTCACTGATATATCACCTAAGGCAACAGAAACAAAGGAGAAAATGAACACCTGGGACTACATCAAACTCAAAAGCTTCTGAACAGCAAAAGATACAATCATCAAAACAGAAAGCATACCCACTGTATGGGAGAGAATAATTGCCAATGATATATCAGATAAGGGGTTCATTACCTATATATATAGAATGCTCATACAACTCCACAAAAGGAAGACAAAGAACCCAATTAAAAAATGGGCAGACACCTCTCTAAACAGGACATATAAATGGCTAAGAGACATATGAAGAAATGCTCAACATCACTAATTATCAGAGAGATGCAAATTAAAACAACAATGAGGTATCACCTCACACCTGTCACAATGGCTGCTATCAACAAATCATCAAACAAATGTTGGGGAGGGTGTTGAGAAAAGGGGACTCTAGTACACTGCTGGTGCGAATGCAGACTGGTGCAGCCACTATGAAAAACAATATGGTGTTACCTCAGAAAATTGCAAATTGAACTTCCATTTGACCCAGTGATCCTACTTCTACGAATATGCCATAAGAAGCCTGAAACACCAATCTGAAAGAATATGTACCCCCATGTTGTAGCAGCACTATTTATAATAGCTAAGATCTGGAAACAGCCCAAATGTCAATCAGTAGATGAATGGATAAAAAAGCTGTGGTACATATACACAATGGAGTACTATGCAGTTGTATGAAGGAAAGAACTCTTGTCCTTTGAGATGACATGGAGGGACCTGGAAAGTGTCATCCTAAGTGAAACAAGCCAAAAAGAAGAAGAAAGTTTCATATGATCTCATTTATTTGTGAAATATAATGAACATAACTGCCTGAGGAATGGGGTAGTCCCAGAATCGTGGAAGTGGGGTACAGACTGTCTATCCCCAGAAGAGGGTATGGTGGGGAGAGATAAAGCACAGAACTTATATGCATGTATGCTGAACAATGGACATGGACAACAAAGCTGGGGAGAGGGCGAGGAGGGAGTGGGGGCAGGTGTCAATGGGGAAAAAAAGGAGAAACATCTGTAACAAAAATAAATTAATTAATTAAAAAGAAAAAAGCTGTGGTAGGATAATACTTTCCAGGTCTCTCCATGTCATCTCAAACAATAAGAGATCTTTCTTTTTTACAGCTGCATAGTACTCCATTGCATATGTGTACATAACAGTCTGAGGAATTGGGTAGTCCCAGAGATGTGGAATTAGGGTACACACTGACAATCCTCAGAAGAGGGCGTGATGGGAGGAGGAAAGACATAAACCACAGACCTTATATGCATGTAGATATAAGCTAAGGACATGGACAACAAAGCCGGGTATGGGGGCCATGGTGAGGAGAGCATCAATGGGGGAAAAAAAGAAGCATCTCTAACAAAAATAAATTAATAAAAATTTAAAAATAAATAAATCAATGCCTGGTGTGAGGAATTGGAGAAAGGGAAGCATGCTGCCTATAGCAGCCTCCCTTCTGAGAGGCTATGCTGTATGTTTTCTTGGGGAGGCAGTTTAGGCCAAGGGATTGAATACAGACTTTGGTTTTAGGCTTCCTGGGTTCGGATCTCAACTCTGCTTTCTACCTTTGTGATCTGGATTAAGTTACTTGACTTCTCCCTGCCTCAGTTTTCCTCTTCTCATGGTAATTGTGAAACCTGAATGACAATGTCATGGTGCAGAGTGTGGCTAGCCTTGGCTATTAGGTATACACCACCACAAAAATGGCATGTGACTGCTCCACTTTGTGGCTTCTGAGGGAACTGGCTCTATGCCCTTGTTTTTTATGGGTCTCCTTTGCTGTATCTGCTGTAGTTTTTCCCTTTTTTTGTTTTGTTTTCTGTAGTTGTTTTCAGACAGGGTGAAAGCATAGGGTTCCATCCCTTTTCTGGGCTGGCATGCAACATTGGAATCTCCTTCTTCCTTGCCCTCTACTCTGTCCAAACTGTGAGCTCTTCGGGATGTAATCCATAAGGCATTTGCCTCTGTCCAAGGTCTGTACCCAATAGGTGCCTGATAGAAGGCAGGGAGACCTGGAAATGGCATGGGCTGAATGGACTATTTTGAAGCCTTAGATGACTTAAGAGCTTTGCTTCAGGTCCTGAGAGGACTAGGCAGGGACCATTGTGCCATCTGGATCAGGCCCCCAGTGGATGTGGTCTGTCAACACTATGGCCTGTTCAGCCCCTCAGCTAGTCCACAAAACACTAACCCCTCTTTTATCTCTCCTCCCCTGTAGTCCATGAGCCTTATCGAGATCGGGAACCCCTCTCAGAGCCTGGAGAATGTCTGCCGCTGGGCCTACCTCCAGCAGAAGCCAGATACAGGTCACGATGAATACCATGATCACGCCATCTTCCTCACACGGCAGGACTTTGGGCCTTCAGGCATGCAAGGTGAGCTTGCTCCTGCAAGGGTTCAGAGAGGAGAGAGGCTGGGCATGAGCCACTGACCCTGTAAAGATCCTAGAAACCTTGGTCCAGGCCAGGGTAGGGTATCAGGGCGAGAGGGCTGTGGCCATCTCAGCCCTGTAAGAGCGTAGATCAATGCTAGTGACCCCTGGCTCTCAAAAACCACCAGGGCCTCTGCATTTCCCCTAGGAAACCATATCCCCCAGGAGGAACAGTGAACATCAGAGGTGGTAAAGTGGACAGAGTCTGGGGCTGGCAGCCAGACACCAGATAGAATCTGAGGCTGAGTTTCAGAGTTGTTTGTTGCCCCCAGTTTTTAAAAATCAAATTTGAATAAGATTTTGACCATTAAAATTTTAGATATTTCACTTAAAAATTCAAACTATGTAAAATTGACAGATCTTAAAGAAGAAATTAATAAATCTACAATCATAGTTGAAGATTTTATTGTATTTTTCTTACTAATGGGAAAAAAACCATAAGAAAAGTACTAAGGATACAAAAGATTTGAATTAAACAATTGGACTTAATTGATATGTATAGAATTCTACACCAAACAACTTGAGAATACCCAGTCTTTATGAGCATAGATGAAAATAGACCCAAACAGACTATGCTGGGCCATAAGGCGGTCTCAACAGAATACAAGAGATCAAAATCACACAGAATATATTCCCTGACCAGATTGGAAAAGAAAGATAACTTGAAAAATTATATATGCCTGGAAACTAAATAATATACTCATAAATAATTCATAGTTCAAAAAAGAAATAACAGTAGAAATTAATATATATTTTTAAACTGAAAGATAATGACAATATGATATATGAAAACTTGTGAATGTAACTAACACAATGATTAGATTGATGCTTGTAGCCTTTATTTATAAATGCCTAATAAAGGGTATTTATTAGGGAAAAAAGGCTAAAAAATTAATCATAGAAACATCCATCTGAAGAAATTATAAAAAGAACATTAAACTAAACTCAACAAAAATAGAAGGAAGGACATTATAAAGGTAAAATTTTAAATCAAAAACAGTAGTGCAATAGAGAAAATAAATAAAAACTGGAATTTGCTTCTTTGATAAACATGAATTAACACAGAAAAACCCCTAGCAATACTAATTTTTAAAAGGAAACAAAATACAAATTTACTAAAATCACAAATGTAAAAGAACATCATTGCACATTTTACTTTAAAAAGATAATAAGATAATGAGAAGGTATTTTGAACAGCTTTGTATCAATAAATCTGTCAATTTAGATGAAAGGTACAAATTCCTTGACAAAACATAAAATCTGATTAGAAAAATAGAAATCTGAATACTTGTATCAATTACAAGTATTGAATTTGTAATTAGAATCAATCTTTCCTTCAAAGTTAACTCCTGTATTTGATAGCTTTACCCAAAAATTTTTTCTAAGTTCTAATGAAGAATTATATCAATCTTACACCAACTCCCACATAATGAAAAAAGAAGAAATATTTTTCCAACTAATTTTTGAGGCTTGTTAACATTAAAACCAAAATTTAAGGACACATTATAAGAACAAAATTGCAAGCCAATCTCTCTCATGAATATAAATACAAGATCTGAAACAAAAGATTTGATATTACCAAATCAAATTTGGTGCTCTATTTTTAAAAAGGTACTATATCACAATAAATTTCAATGTATTCTAGAAATGCAAGGTTGGTTTAACATTTGAAAATCAATCATTGTAATTTACCACATTAACAGAATAAAGGAGAGAAATGTGTATGATCATCTCAGTTGATCCAGAAAAAAATATTTGACAAAAATCAAGATCCATTTATGATAAAATATCCTGTTGAACTAGGACTAGAAGAACTCTTAATGTGGTAATGGATATTTACCCCCCAAAAGTATAACAAACATCATATATAATGGCGACATGCTGAAAGCATTTCTTCTAGATTGAGAATGGGTCAAGAATACCTGCTATCACTTTTCTTCAATGTTGTAGTAAAGGTCCCAGGCAGTGAAATAAAGACAGGAAAAAATAAATAATATAAAAATCAAAAAGGAAAAAGATCAGACTGTCATTAGAAAATGATATACCTATGTACATAGAAAATCCAAAAGATTCTACAGATAAATCACTAACATTATTAAGTAATTTTTTGGATATCATGTCAATATATAAAAATCTATTGAATTTCTGTATTCTAACAAACAAATTAAAATTTAAAAACTACTACCACTTACAATAGAATAAAAAGCAGCCAATACCTAGGATTAAGTCCAAGAAAATATGTCCAAGACATAGACTGGAAAACTGTAAGACATCTTGACAGAAATTATAAAAGATTAAATCAATTAAAAGGTATGCCTTGTTTATGGATGGGGAGACTCACTATTGTACAGATACCAGTTTCTCCAAATTGTTCCACAGGTCAATGCTGGTGTGCTCAGTTTCAGCAAGATATTTTGAAGGTACTGATAAGTTGATTCTAATGTTTATACAGAAATGCAATGGGCCAAGAATAGCCAAGAACAATTGAGGAAGAAAATCAAAGTACTCAATACTTATAAAAACATAATAGTTAAAGAGTGTAAGCTTGATACAAGTATTGACAAATGTGTATTAGAACAGAATAGAGTCCAGAGTTGAACTTAGACACAAACACCACAATGGGATGCTTGTGGGAACAGGGACTATGATTCCAGTCCCACTGAGCACAGAGCAAGGCTTCTAGTTGGTATTGGTGTCTTTTTCATTTTGAGAGACTGCTCACACCCTTTCAAGGCCTGCAGCAGTGTGGCCATCTGACAAACAGAGCACTCTGTCAGTCTTGTTATGGGAAAGAGCTCTAAGGGGGAGCAGAGATGTTCGAAAGGAGAGAAAGCTGTCCCAGAGGAGAGAGAGCTTTTATATTAAGTGACCTCATTCTTTATTTCAAAATGTGAAAGAATCAACAGGTGACTAAAGGAGGTATTGGGTCAATTCTTTTGGATGACAGCTGAGAAGTACAGCAAGGATGTACAGGCAGACTGGTCTTTACAAAGTGAACCTTTTATTCCTTCTCTTTCCTCCATGGGAAGCCACAAAGATCTGGAGACACCACCCCACCCCACCGCAGAAGAGATTCTATATGTGCATTTTTGTTTTCTTCTGTTTTAAAAATTATCATACAATAAAATTAGGTTTCCCTCCCCCCCAAAATAAAAATAAATAATTAAATAAAATGAATAAAAATGTGAAAAGACAACTGAGTATTATCAGACTTTAAAAAAATAAAGAAAGAGGGCAGTGGAACATGGCAGCAGGCAGGACCAGAGTGAGGGTGAGTGTGTGAGTGTGAGTGAGTGGTGAGTGGATGTGAGTGTGGATGAGCAACCACACAGAAGTGCAGAAACTTAGGGCAGATGGTTCTGATGCTGTGGATGAAAGAGCAGCCAGCTCTGAAGCACTGCTGCCAGCAGCAGCAGAGGATCAAGATCTGAAGCTTGAGAGCAGATACTGAACCTCTACAGCCACAGGAGCAGATAGGAGTGGAGCCCCACCCCCACCAGCAGCAGAGGCTCAAGAGCCAAGTGTCATCCCGCTCCCAACAGCAACAGAGGTTCGGAAGCTGAAACCCATCTCACAGCAGCAGCAGCAACACCAATCAGGATCCAAGCCCTTCCAGGCAGCAACAGTGCCTAGGGACCATACATCCCAGCAGTCACCAGCCAGACCCATGCATCCCAGCAACACCTACAATGACAGATGAACACCAGCCTCCAGCAGTCAATCCTCCTGGACCCACAGAAGAGGAGAGGTACCAGTTGGAGGGCTGCACCATAACAGACTGGGAACCATAGCAATCTAATCTGATATACACCAACCTGCCTACATGTCTGAACATGCCTCACCTTGCCCTGAACTACCAGACTGTCAAAATGGTGAGACAAAGAAGCAACCCCCAAATGAAAGAAAATGAGGAACCACCAGAAAAGAAGCTACATGAAATACAGGAAAGCAGTTTGTCATATAAAGAATCTAAAGCAATAGTTTTAAGAGTGCTCAAACAATTTAGTGAGAACTACAAGCAACTTAATGAGAACTACACCATCATAAAAAAGAGGTAGAAAATGTGAATAAAAATTAAGTGGAAATAAAGAATGACATAGCTGATATAAAAATACCTTGGAAAAAATCAACAGTGTATTAGAAGAAGCTGAAGACCAAATCAGTGAGTTATAAGACAAGGTAGAAATAAACACCATATTAGAGCAGCAAATGGGGAAAATAATTTAAAGATTAGAAGGAGAGTATAAGGGAGCTTTGAGACAAAATGAAATGCAACAACATTCACATTATAGTGGTACCAGAAGAAGAATTGGAAAAAGGAATAGAGAACCTCTTTGAAGAAATAATGACAGAAAACTTCCCTAACCTGGTGAAGGAAAAAGTCACACAAGTCCAGGAAAAACATAGAGCCCCAATCAAGATGAACCCCAAAAGACCCACATCTAGACATTTCATAATTAAAATTGCAAACGTTAAAGATAAAGAAAAAATCTTAAAGGCAGAAAGATTTAGAAAGTTAACTACAAGGGAGCTCCCATTAGACTATAGGCTGATTTCTGAATAGAAACACTGCAGGCCAGAGAAAGTGGCATGAAGTACACAAAGTAATGTAAAGCAAGGGTCTGAATGCAGGACTAGTCTATACAGGAAGACTATGATTCAAATTGAAAGTGAAATAAAGAGCTGCACAGACCAAAAAAAAAGGCTAAAGGAATTTACTACCACCAAATTACCACTGCAAGACATGCTAAAGAGACTGTTGGAAGAGGAAGAAGAAACAGGGAGGGGAACACAAGCATAAAGAAAAAAAATGGGAACAAATAAGTGCCTATCAATAATACCCTTAAATATAAGTGGCTTAAATCTTCCAATCAAAGACATAGGGTAGCTGATTGGAAAAGAAAACATGACTTATATATATGCTGTCTACAACAAAGCTATCTC